ATAAATTAGAAAATTTTAAAAAATTTCGATTAATTCGAAAATTAACTGAAATTTATTCGGTTTGGTTAATATTTTTGAAAAAAAAAAGTTTGGTTCGGTTAACGGTTAAAGAAAAAAAAAGTTTGGTTAATGGTAATTCGGTTCGGTCGGCCACCGAATTAATTGAATGAACAAACCTATATAATATGACATTCTTATTTAAAATAATTATTGAATTGATTATTAGGAAAAATTGAGGGATAAAAGGACGGAGTATGAAGCTATGGCTTCAAGTCATAGTATTGTTAATGTGGATGACATTGAAAATCAAGTTATTAATGAAGTTTTGGGTCCTGAATGATATGGTCAGGTTCGTTGTCAAAGACCATTCGTTACTCTAACCAAATATTTTGGATCCAGCTCATCTCAGTACATATCATCATAGAATCATTCTTTACAGTTAGAAGTTACTCGTTTAAAACAACAGTTGGCTGAAATGGATCAAAAAGTTGCTCAAATGAAAGCAGTGAGAGAAGCTAAGGAAGCAGAGAGAGAAGCAACATATCAGAAAAATGTGAAGATTTTGAAAATCGACTTCAAGCTATGATGCAGATGATATGACAAAATCAACCTCAGAGTCCACTATCTTAGGTGTTATTTTAGATATGTACTTTGTTTATTCTAGTTAACAATGTTGAACTACATTATATTTTACGTTAATTTAAAATTTGATTTATTATTATGGATTTCAAGTTTGTTGTTATGGATGTCAAGTTTATTGGATAATGCTACAGGTTAAAAATTAAAATTTGGGTAACAAAAGAGCAGAAAACAACATATTGAAAATCAGTTTTAATTAGCGGCGTTTGTATAAAAAAATCACTAAATGCATATTCAATATCGGCGTTTTTGAAAAAAAGTCACTAAAGTTCTAGATCTTTTGAGGCGTTTATATAGAAAATGCCACTATAGCCATAGTCAATAGCGGTGTTTGTAAAGCGGTGTTTTACATTTACAAACACCGCTATATGTCATTACCTTTACCGGCATTTTTAAAAATAAATGCCACTATATGTCAGAATACTTAGCGGCGTTTTTTTACAAACGCCACAAAAGAAAAGATATATAGCGTCGTTTGTCGTCCACAAACGTCGTGTTGATTTAGCGGCGTTTTTTGTTTCACCACAAGGGGTTTTAGCGGTGCAAAACGTCGCTATATGTCTGAAAAATACCACTAAAAACCTATTTTTGTTGTAGTGCAATATGTACTATAAACAATGTTTCTATTACAATAGCTATGCAATTGTCATGACTTGGTTAACAAAACAATTTTAAAATATCATATGAAAAGGGTAAAAATTAATATATCTTTAAAAGAAAGAGATTAAAAACTTAAAGACTATAAAAGAAGTCCATGCCAGTTATCTATTAAATCAGCATCTTCGATGAATTGCCAAGGCAAGTCCCATAAGACTGATCTATTCTCGGTAGTAGTGTCTTGTTCCATAATTGTAGCTAAATCATCCGATGTTGTTGTAGTTGTGGGATCAATCATATCTTCATTATAGTAAAGCATCGTGTTTTCCCCATTAAAAACCAGATTTTAACCACCATTGTCAACAGCTTCCCCATAGCCAAAACCCTGAAAATTGTCGAAGTTTCCTTGGAAGACAGCGTCAGGAACTGAACCTGCAACATTATGGCTAGGGTTTCCAAGAATAGAAAGGTGGCCAGGGTTGGTACTGATCGGAGGGTTAGTATTGGGAGTCAATGTTTGATCTTGGGTGGTCTTTGATGATGATGATCTCTTGGATTTCTGACAGCCGCCGCCCATCAGAACTTTCCGGAGTGTTCCTTCTTTGGTCCAATACCTCCGGCATGACTTGCAAAAGTATCTCGGCTGAGACAAGCTGTAGTTGTAATAACAAAACTTGGTGTTGGTGGAATCACATCTTGGACACTTGACGACTGCCTCTTCTGGTTATTGTGACCTTGTTTTTCTTTCTTCTTGTCCTTTTGAAGGGTTCCCCATCTCCTGCAAACCAAAAAACAAACGATTTTCTCAAAACAATTATAGAAATTTAGGGTTTCCCATCAAATTATAGGGCAGAAAAAGAAGAAAGAAACACAAAGAACAATTTGACCCCTTATGGTTTATTTGTTCTATGCGAAAAAGAAGAAATATTTATTACCTGGTGTTTTCCTGTTGAAGGATCCATACATGCAACGTAACAAAGAAATCAAAATTCAGCAATTTAAGTTTAAGTGAGGACGATAATAATGTCCTCAATATTTTTGAAAGGTAATAGTGTCCTCAATATATATAGCCCTCAAGGGTCTTTATTATAGATTTGGGTGATCAATATATGCGCAGGGCAAAACAATTAATGTTGTATAGATACTTATTAAATATTATATTTTATTGTAATCTAGATTCGGTTTAATATTAATGACTTTCCTTAAATAAATCATACGTCTTTTATTGCAAAAATCTTTCTTTCAATATCCACAATCACCGATTAAGAAACTTTAGCTTATGTAAGGGGGAGAAAATATAATGACGATGTGATTGAGTTGGACGTTGGGAAAGCTCTCATTACTCGAGCGATTAGTTCGCGGAAAAATATTATTATCAAAGAGAATAATTTTTTATGAAATTACATACCCTCGTTTGGCTTAAAACATCCCATTCAAGAAATAATGAAGCATTTCCTACAGTAGTAATATATTTCTAGGTGTTTTTCGAGGACTGTTATTCTTCTCCTTCTCTTAGATATTTAGCAATTCACATCTAAAACAAAAGAAATATTTCAAAAGCATAATTCACTTTATTCCTTGAATTATATGTTATCAAAATAATAGAGGACTTTGCTATGTGAGGTATAGCAAACTTTATTAGGTACTCGTTTTCTTCCTTTGTCACGTGGCTGTTGAAATGATGTAAAAATTAATACTTATTAGGATTAAAAGAATATATGATTTATCTTTTATTTTACTCATTTATCTTTTAAATTTTATAAAATAAAATATATATGAATTAACATATACTTATATTAGTTTAAATATGTATATCTCTCAATTTGGTACCTAAAAATATACACATAATTATATTGGTGTAGGTATGTTTTGTATTTGCAAAGAAATAAAAAAGTGTAGCAAGTAACACATACTTATACCGGTGTAAGTATGGTACATCTCCCAATATATTGGTACGTACCTAAAACATATAATTATATTGGTGTAAGTATATTTCTGTATTTTCAAAAAAACAAATAAGTATAGCAATTAACACACACTTACACCGATGAAAGTATGTATATCTCCCAATATCTTAATACCTAAAATGTGTTAAAAAAGAAAATATATCTCAAAGATAATTTGGTAAAACATACATTTGTATTATCTTATTTTCTTCCAACCAAGCACTATGATATTACATTCCCGCCAAACAAATCTTATTTCTCAAGGATAATACAATATTCTCAGTAATTTATTAAGTAAAACAATATTTCAGTAATCTTATTTTCAATTTTAGTTTTACATTCCGTAAACCAAATGACATGTGATAGAAATTTAAATCTAAATATTCAATGTTTTTATTATCCATAGCCATTGAGGGGCGAAATTAGGTTAATATTGTTAGCGTCAAAATTATTTCGACTTATAGGACAATTCAAAATTTAATTTGAGATCTATAATAAATGTTATAGTATTCATAGAACTCGTCATTCTCTCATGACGAGTTTTATGAAATATTACTTTTTATTGACCCTAGTCATGTGAGTTCCTCAGTAACCTTCATAAAATTCTTTATTTATTGAAAGAGTTTACGAATTGATAAAAAAGTGGTGAGCAAACTAAACTATTGACGGACAGGAACGGACGCATTATGTTAGGGAGGGCGAACTTCTAAAATTTTACAAGGGGACGGATTTATAAAATAAAAATATATTTTCAATAGAAAAATATAGAAAAAATCTAAAATATATGATAATTTTAATTTTTCAAGGGGGCGACTACCCACCCACCCCTTCGGTCCATCCATGCTGGCAAGTTGCTTCGCTACACAATACTGATAATATCGATAAACAATCTTTTACTAAAGAGTGAATCTGACTATACATTACTACCAACAAACCAATCAAAAAAAATACCGTGAGGATCTTTGTGCGAGCACTAAAACAATTGTAAATATATGCAAAAAGCGTATCAAAAATCATAAGGATCGTGACACAAGAGTATGACAAAACGTGTCACAAGGACAGAGATTCTTATTCAAAATTGAAAAACAAAAACCCAAGAAAAAACAAAAGATATAGTATAAAAAACAAGAAAACTAATAATTACCGGAGGTCGACAACCAATGTTAAAATTAATGCCGTCGGCAGCTAAAAAAGCCTAAAGAAAAGAAAGAGGCAACACATAAGCTGAAAGAAAACCTTAACGTTTATTATTTTAAAAATAAATATTTATGTCTATAAACTAGACTAAATTTTGTATATAACATTTGTATATAAAATGTCAACAATCTCTATAATAAGCTGATAAAAACTTTCATTTAATACCTTTGATCTTTCTTAGGTTGTGGTTTTAATATATAGAAATTATTAAAAAGGAATTTGTACGTATATAAAAAGGAATTAATTTTTCCTAGGAAAATAGTTTCTATTACTTAAATAAAAGCTTTAAAGTTAAACCAAATTAAATCCAAATATCTTCAGATGGGCCTGAAGTTCATATTTGTTATACACACGCAAATCTCTCCTTCTACAGGTGTAGAGAGGAGTGCTCCACCGTCTTTCTTCGCCAGCACATGGCTTTAATTTTCTGTTTGAAGGTCACATTTCTTCATTCATTGTGTTTAAATACTTTGAATCTCCTCTGAGTTTTTGGTCTGCTCCCTTCTTCTGTTTCTTGATTTTGCAGTTAATCTCTCTCTCTTTCTGGCAGCCATGGCATCTCCTTCACAGCTTTTCCTCAAACTACTTCATGATTTTCACCACATCGATCGCATCGCATATTCTAGACTCCTAACCCTTAATTTCGACACTCGCCATGCAATGAAAATAGTTTCCTTTTGGAATACTCTTGAAAGAATCGGCTTCAAGCACTTTGTTTACGAACTTCAACAATTATCTGATTCTTCGCTTTTCTCTTTGGCCAAAGACTCCGTCCTCTGCTTGCAATGCCTCTACTCTTCTTCCCAACAAATCTTCCTGTGGCTCCGTCTCGATTTTCACGAGATGAACAAACTTGTTTCTCAAGAAATCTTGTTGGGGTTTCTCGTTAAGAACAGGGAGAGCATTAAACGGATGATCAAGGGTTTGTGAAAGGTGTGTGTGAGGTAGCATTTCTCGAACAAAACTTGGGTCGCAAGCAATCTTACCCCAATGGTGGTCAACCCGATTCTGTAACTACAACAGGTGAAAACGAGGAGGTTTTGAAGGGGGTAAAGTTGAATGGGAAGACAAAACATTGTTTATGACATTCTCGAGGGGACATCCGGTTTCAAATAAAGAAATACATGGTTTCATAGTGGGTAAATTCGGGAGTTGTGGGGAGGCAATCTGTATGGATAAAAACCCAAAGTGGCGTTTGTTCGCCTGTGTTGTTCTAAGGTCACACTCTGACATGTCCAGGATTCTTGGGGGTCAAAAACTAGTGCAAAAAATCATTAATGGCAAACAAGCTAGGGTTCGAAGAGTTGTCCCCAAAAATATTCTTATGAAAACAAGTTAGCCGCAGTTATTGCAGTAAGTTAGTGGTTCGTGGTCTTTAAACATTGATTCATGGCAAGATCAACAGCATTGTTTCGTAGTTTGTCTCCTGTTTCGTAGGTAGAAGTGGTTTAGTTTACAGTTTTACATGTTCCATATTCCGAGGTTGTAAATTGTAATGCTGATCTCTCAACGTTTATGGTACCCCAAGTTTATCTGTTTCTTTGCTCTGCAATGGATTTTTGTTTGAAAGAAATGATATGAAACAAATCCCCAAGCTAATAATCGGTTTATACAGTATTCATAAAACAATACAAGTTTATTCCATTGTTGAGATATAAGAACCATGTATGATGTATGTATAAAGCTGTTCTTCTCCAGTGAACGTTGAATACGTGTCGAAAACGTGTAATGGATAACCTGCAATCGGATGGTGGTAGCTTGTTACTAAACTATTTCATCATCTGGACTCCATGGTTGTACTTGGTGCCATTAGGGCAGTTGCTGCAGATACTAAACTATTGGTTTCCGGGGGTATTCACTGTTTTATCCATTGTTGAGAATCTTCAACGCCTGTTTAACCTTAGAAAACAGGACACCGAGTTTTGGCTCCGGGAACGTGAGGGGCCTATAATGTCTCTTGCTTTGGACCTTTCTCTGATGTTTAGTGGTTCTTGGGATTGATGGTTCGTGTTGGCTCAAGTGCACACAAGCATCGAACCATAATGACTGTGTTTGGAGCCTTGTTCCTCATGGCATGACTTTTGCCTGCACACTGGGGTCAATTTTTTTTAATAATTGGATGATTATAAGATATTATCTGTCGACACTCATTTTTCGTCTCGTTATTATTATTATTATTATTAATTACTATTATTATTTTATTGTTTTTATTTTTGCAGGCTTTACAACCTGATGCAATTGGAGTTCAAGACCCGACCCAAAAATCGGCCAGATCTGATCTAGCAATAGGACCCGACCCGGTTCAAGTCATCATCACTGTCGAGCTCCAAGCCACCGAATGTTGTCATCGCATATGTCAAAGTGCACCTGCAGACAATAACCAAATCATCCACCAATGAGTAAAACAAATTAAGATGTTATCTCAAAGATTCACTGAACATATTCAATCTTGAAAAGTCAGTAGAATACCCTACCACTATTTAGTGGAAAAACCACCAAAGATCCATTTTAAAAATGGATGCATGTAATCATTTGAGAGGGGAGCAAAACGTGGGAGACCAGAGAATACACCAAGGGAGCCAAAGAGAGGAGAGAGAGAAAAGAAAAAAAAGGCTTCATTGATTCTGTCGGATTCTCGCCGTTGATCGGAATCTCCGATCACCATTCCGAACGGTCAAAAGTTGCACAAGACCATCACGGACAACATACTGAAAATTCAGGACGATCAGACGGTGTACGGTGGTGGATCGGAGAAAATAAGCCGACCGGTTTTTGGCCTCTTGCCTGCGATCGGGATCTCCGATCAACATTCCGAATGGTCAAAAGTTTCACCAGACCAGCACAAACAACATACTGAAAATTCAGGACGATCCGACAGTGGACGACGGCAGATCGGAGAAAATAAGTCAAACGGTTTTTAGCCTTTTGCCGGCGATCGGGATCTCCGATCAATACTTCAAATGGTGAAAAGTTGTGTAATGTCAACACGAACAGCATACTGAAATTTCATGACGATCGGACGGTAGACGGTGGTGAATCGGAGAAAACAAATCCATACGGTTTTTGGCCTCTCGTCAGTGATCGGAACCTCCGATCAATATTCCGAACGGTCAAAAATTGCGCGATGTCAACACGAACAGCATACTGAAATTTCAGGACAATCGGACGGTGGCACGGCAGCGCAGTAACACGATGGCCGGTGAATCATTTATGACACATGTTATGTATTTTTTGTATAATTTCTGTTTAATCCCTGAACTTTTATGTGTGTTTTTCATTCCAGCATATGAATATATATGTTTTCTTGATTTAACACTATAGTTTCTGTTATTTTATTTTAGTCATCAGTTTATGTTATTTTTTTTTTGTTTGTTTATGCATTTGGCGCGTAATTTTGATTAATTGGTGTTCTATCCTTTAAACTTAATTTGTTGTGTTTTTATTTGGTCTTTATATTGCATGTTTATTTAATTTTAGTCACAAATGTTGATTATTTTATTTTTGTCATTTAGACATTAGAGTTCTATGTTTTTTCATGTTTCTTTTTAGGTCTTGATTTATTTCTTCATACATTTGACCATTTAATATCTGCATGTATACTTTAATTCTTACTTTGTTTGTATTTAAAAATAGTAATATTTTATTTAATATGGTTTAATCCTTAAATATAGTTTTTTCGTGAAATTTGTATTTTGAAGTTAATATGTTTTTTTAAGTCACTTTCGTACATTATATATTAATTAATATATATATATATATATATAAGTTATAATGTATATAATTTGTGGTGTTTAAATATTTTTACATAACATCTTTTTTGCATAATTTGCATGATAGCCTCATGAGCATTACTTGACTTGAATTGAAATAAATTGACTAAGGGTAATATTCGAGCATTTTAATATCGTCGTAAAGTGATTGTCTTAACGTATAAGAAAGTTACTTTCGATAATTTTAAAATGAAAGTCTATCCTATAAGTGACACCAATTAAAACAGATTCATTTTTAAAATTTGGGGACTAAGGAAAAGATCGTATTCTTTTAATTAAATTCATCGAGAAAAGAGAGTTAGATCGAATCTATGGTCTCGTCTCTTGATATTTAATTAATTGAATACCCTTATTCTCATTAAATATTGGTAAATAAATAATTAATCAATTGGTTGATAGTTTTTTTTTTACTTTTCCATGTGTTTTTAAAGGGTTTTCAAAATAATAATGTTCGATCATAAATAATTAAATATTATTATTTTATCTCTAAAAATTATTTTGGGTGTTATTATTTTGAAATTTAGAATGAAATTTTAATATTTTTTATTTCGATTGGAGTAAAAATCGATTGCTTCAAGGTACGATAGATCATTTCTTCTCGATAGGAAATAATTAAATATTATTATTCTTTCATCCAAAATTTCGAAAAATATTATTTTAGGGGATCATAAATCAAATTAATTTTGAACTTGTACATTTTATTGCAAAGACAATTAATTAATCGACTAGGTACCGATTTAGGGCACTGTGGGGGTGCTAATCCTTCCCTACGTGTAACAGACTCCCGAACTCATTTTCTGGTAACGCAGACCTAAATTTGTTGTTTTAATTAAAATTAATTTTTATTTAAAATGACAAAACGTTTTTGGGTACCCAATCACACCTTAATCAAAGATTGGTGGCGACTCCTCGAACCGTATTTTTAGCATAAAGGAATTTCTAAATTTTTGAAACGAGAGATTTTTTAATCACATTCACTTTTAATTTAAATTTAATCTAAATAAAATAATTAAAAATTGGTGTGGTTTCCAAAATCTCACCCGGAAAAAAACCGTTTCGACAGCTTGGCGACTTCGCTGGGGAATATTTTTAGAGAGTTAGGCCTGTAGTCGATTAATTAATTGTCTTTGCAATTGAAAGTTATAAATTCGTTCTAATTTGGTTTTTGATCCCCTATTTGGTTTTAATATTGTTTGTTGAGAAATTGATTAACCAATAAATAGTTGTACTGATCTGTTTGTTAATGGTTTCAGATTAATTATGTCTAAAGAGGATTTATTTTTTGAGTGTCTTGTGATTATGTGTTGTTTTTGCTTTTCCTCACACACTGCACAACTGCATTTGCATAACATGAGCTAAAACTCCGCTCATTCCTATTTAAGTAAGAGTAATAGACTACTCCCTCGTGTGGTTTTCACCTCCGCATGGGCTAGTGAATCGCTCTTTGGGCTCACGCCTTATGATCCTCGTGAGGTTCTCACCTCCGCAATGGCATAAGGAAGTGTGTCCCCTCGAATTGAACTCGATCTGAAAGTCTGTGATGGGCCAGGATTGAGGGTTCGGTAACCCAAGGGGCATCGGCAAAGGACAATTCGAGGACCCCTTACTTTAGAATCGAACCCAGCATATAGTAAACTTAGAACCCATATACAACCTTACCTAGATCATATGATCCTGTGAGGAGAGTACACAAGGAAAAGCTTATTTGAGCATTCTTTAGTGTAATTTTAATTTCCTGAATAAATGTATGCAAACTAGAAATAATATGGTTAGGTTTAGTTTTCAAACCATTATGCGAATTAGATATCATGCAATTAGGATTTTTTTTAAATAACAAAGCTTGTGGGTAGAAATCCTGTTTGGGTAGGATCTACTAAGCACGATTGGGTAGTCAGCATGTGAGGGTAGGTTTTATTTAATGAGTTCGATACTTATTATTTTGTTATTTATCTTATGTGGACTAACTTATTTTTTCCTGTGTCTATTTTATTGTGATTTTATTGCATTTGCATCTTCATATCATCTGAGGTGTTAATTCGTAAGTGATTGACTAATAAGAAGGCTGGTCATAATGAGGCAAAAAAATCTTAACCATGTACTCAAAATCAGGAGATTCAAAGACATTCAAATGATTAATGAAGAATGACATCCAATGAATGAAGAAATCTGAAACTGATTGAAGATCGATCCATAAAGAAAGATATCCGATGAAGGAAGAAGTTTGAAGTTGATCGAAGACCACCTTTAAAGGCATCAAGACTGAGATATTCCCTCAGAAGATAGATACAATCATACAAAGGACGAGAAGACCCTTCATAAAGACACGAAGACCATTTTGCATTGGAAGTAAGAATGAAGATTTCAAGATTCAATTTAAGGACATTCGACGTCATCAAAGGTGATAAAATACGCCGACAACTTTGGGATATAATGTTATATTCTATGAAGAGTACAACTCAAGAAGATGAAGAAATGGAGAATCACAATTGTATTTTGACTACATGGTGTAATGAATTCTTGTTGTCTAAATGAAAGTTGTTCTATAGTGGTCACTTTTGGAATTAATGCCTTGTGCATTTGTATTTGCATTCTTATTTTTGCATTAGCTTATTAATTTATTTATTTTACTAATGTTACTTTTTATCATTTTATTATCATTTTCATACTAACCAGTTTATATGTTGTTTTCTTTATCTGCATTGCATGATCATGACATAATCAAAAGGTGTTGATTT